AATTACAGTAGACACCACGATGATGTGAAACATTTGTCTGAGGGGGTTAAGAGGATAAAATCAACTCTATACAAGTACAAAGACATCTTTATCACTCATAAGTAACTTAATAAATCTTTCTACACACTATGAAATGGAGTAGACTTTCAAAGGCTATACTTTCAGCATAAACACTGTGTCCATATATGTCTGCTTTTATACTATACAGAATGTGAAAAACACAAAGTAGTAGGCCTATGTCCGAATTCATAATATTTGAAAAGTATAATAGGTCATCTATTACTTCTGCACTCAATGGACATGCTACAATTCAATGAGGCCTACTAGCAACACTAGTAGGTCATGTGACACTAACAGCATGATGGATGTAGTGTGTTAAGGTCATTGCACACTGAGTCCGAAATTTTCGCACATCAAAAAATAAATACGACCTCACATTGTGTCAATCACGTTTACACACTGCCTCCGAAACTTTCGTCAGTCATAAAAAATTTGGATCAGGTTCGATTTTCTGCATTTTCGATAGCAAAGGATGACGAATATACGAAAAAACGCATACAGAAATTTCAGACTTTAGAATTTCATTACTACCCTTATTCATACTATATAGAAACATTTCAAAATTTCAAACCAGTACTACACAGTACGTGATTTCGGACATAGTGTAAGTATTCGCATTAAACCCATTGAGTAAAGTGTGAAAAGCACTTTTGGAGGCATAGTAAATCTCTTGGCAAACTGTAAATGAATAATAACACAAACATCTTTATTATTATCATTATAGTTATATCTTCTCTTTAAAAAACATTCAAAAAAAATCTGCAACCAAGTCAAAGGTTATGGAATATTACAGACGAGTTCTTGATGAAATCATCTCCGGCAATGAGCTGGCCTGGGTTAAAAGGGACCTCAAGTCCCACCCACAACCTGAAGAGGGCGTCCTGCTATGGCACCCAAGGGCGAGGGGAGGTTACACAGTAATGGTCACAGACTTCGGGAAACAAACAAAAAAAATTGGTCCAGAAATCCATAAACATACTCTTTAAAACATAACTTGATTTATTTTAATACAAAATATAATGCTAATGTCAATAAATAAGTGTCCATAGAAGTCCATGAGTCAGGGACCGATCTCGCTGCTGTATGTCATGGCACTGCAAATCTCGTGAGAATACACGACAAAAAGAGAAAATCTCACAGAGTGACCGGAGAGAACGCAAGAAAGAGTGAGGGAAGGCGGATGAGATGGCAAAACCTTGAGACTGGAGCATGTGTAGTGAGCGCTTGACGCACTGAAACCAAAACATATTGTAACAAAGAGCAGTGTGAGCATTTGGTGATGATGGAAACACATCAGGTATTGACAGACTCACAAAGCTCCTTAGTTTGAGACTGTTAGAAGGCTAGATTAATTTTGGCACCTTAAAGAAATCTATGTAAACATAAGCAGCTCTAGGTCACAGTCCCCGTCTCCAATCAAACACAAGTTTGTGAAAGTCTGTCTGTTCTGTGCAGCTGTTGAAAGAGGATGAGGACAATTGTTGGCGAGCGTTAAAACAAGTCAAACACTCCTATTATTAGCGAAGCTGGCTGCACTTCAAACGTGTGTTGAGATGCATGATATATCAGTTCCATATTGGTTATCAGTCAATATTAGAGAATTTCTATTTAATTGTGCTGCTTATTTAGCTTATTTTTACAAATACACTCACAAAATACAAGGCCTTAATTTAATATTTATGTATTTGAATTTATTTATATATATATATATATATATATATATATTTCAGCCATATGGATTACACAGTTTTAACATTAACAAACTTAATGTGATGCATATTTGTCAGTCACATAAATAAAACAGGTAAAAAAATATAAATAATATTAAAAATAATAAAATATTTCTGTAAAAGGTTTATATATTTATCATCAGTAAATCCAATTTATTTCAACATTTTAACTGAATATTGCTTGTTCCACAACTAGCCATATTTGAACCATGTTCCAACATTTTAACTGAAAAAATGCAATTTTTGACAATGGACAGATTAATGCTGATTCTACGCAGTTTTAATAAATTATTTTGTAAATAGATTATTAAAAAAATAAACAGATGCAACTAGTTAATAATAAACAATGGCATGATTTATGTGTGTATTTATTTATTTATGAGTGAGTGAGTGCAGAAATCTTACCTGTTTTATTTATCTATGACTGACAAATATGCATCACATTAAGATTAATAGTAACGTATGTTTTAACTGTGTAATCCAAATGTATGGATGTTGAATATGCAATTCAAATACATAAATCTTACATTTAAGCCTAAATATTTGTGTGTAGACTACCTTTACCATTACTTAACACTCACTTAAATTTGATCTTTAAATATACTAATAATCTGTAATAATTTGTAAATAAATAATAAAATGTAATCCATTTTGAAACTGTAAAGTATAATGCCTAAATTCACTTGTAGCATTTAAAAGGACTGATTTTAGTGTTTAGTGTTTTAATTTAAATTAAATATATTTGTACAAAATAGTGTAGAATTTTAATATTGGTCAAATAATATTTATCAGCTTATTAGTTTTGGGCCAGAATTTTAATATCACTGCATCCCTAACTGGAAGCATACATATTAAAAAAAATAAATAATTGCACATTTAAATGTTTACATTTTGCTATAAGTTTGATTGCATCATATAATAATTGCTGTTAATAGTGTTCATCATCTGTTTGATTGCGTTTTTAATTGATTTTTCCATACATTAACTGACAGTCACCACTGATAAGCTACCACTAAATATTGTAGAAACTTAATTTTCTGTAAAGTTGCTTTGCAACGATTTGTATCGTAAAAAGCGCTATACAAATAAACTTGAATTTAATTGAATTGTCCTTTTTAAAACCAGAAAATTATAACAAGTTAAAATTAAAAAATTATAACTAAAACTAAAATTAAAAATTAAATGTTAATATTTAATAAATGGCAAACCCAGATTACATTATTGAATTCAAATTTTCATTTTGCAGCAGTGACGTTGATTATAATAGGAACGTTTAAATCTGTTGCATCGCTTTGATTGCAGTGTTCACACTGACAGCGATTTTCAAAGCAAACTGAAGTTACTTTCAATGTGAGTTGACAATGTGAGGCAACGTGAGCGACAGCTGAGTCGAGTTCAACATTACACAAATAAACTGCGACTACCATTAGGAGAGAAGACAGCGGAGCTCATGTGATCAGCTGATACAGTACAGTGTCCTCTTATTCACTTTCAGTGTGAACACAAAGTGCACGTGAAACGGTGAGAGGTCTACCAGCAAGCTTCCCTCTTTAAGTGTGTCTTTAAAGAGCGGGACGGTGTGTAACTGTGCGTATCCCTGTGTAATCGAGTGTTCACTGTCAAAAGCCGCAATGACATTGACATTGACATCTCTCTCCCATTGTCTTAAGAAAGTTCACTTAACTTTTATCACACACACACACACACACGCATCTGGTTTAAGTTAGACTGGTCACATCATGTTGGACAATAAGAGCAATACTAAATATATGTTCATGTATATATATATAACCATATATACAACTATTTTACACACATATTCCAAAATGTACATCTTCATGCACAACTGATGGAAAAAAGCAAAATAAATGCATCAGTTGTTGTTTTTCTTTTTTAGTACTACAGTACATGAAGTTCCTCTAAATTGCCACGTGACTCTCAAAATCTCACTTTTAGAGTCCTTAATTCATTATACATGTATTTTCTGTACGTATATATATATTTACAAAGAACCAAATCCTGAAAGTACCTGGAAGTACCAAGCGGATGTGGATGATTTACCTCATTTCAATGTGAAATGAGAGATCTGAAATTAAGGTTTCTTTGCTCAAACTAAATGAACTGCTTAAGGAAGGAGAACATTTAGGGAAAGTATAAACACCAGTTTTTCAGATCAGCGCTGATATAAAAAGACTAGCTCCATAACAGAATTTCTCTATTATTGTGGACCCACTCACACAGTGGTTCAGATTCACATTATGAAATGTATGAAATATTTTGTGATACATAAGTTTCAAGCGGTAGCGCAGCTCACAGTGTTAACATCAGTCCAACCGGTTCTCCAATATTCCTATTATGTTTTAAATATCGAGCTGGTTCAGAGTCTGTTGAAGGCATCTGTAAAGAAAATGAGTTTTAGCACAAGTATGCCAGCTCATGGCTTCTTTTTAAAAAGTTTTCTGTACAATACTATAAAACCCGTGCAATGCTTTTCTTATTTGTTAATGCTGACATAGTCTCTTTAAAACATGTATATTGTGTGAAAAACTGACAGAAAAAAACACTGTTATGACATGACCGAGTTAAATTTCAAATGTATCGTTATCTGCTATTATTGCTGTAACATTTATTACAACATAAATCGGGATTAAATGACTGCAATTTTGCCATGATTATTTTTAGAGGCAGAGCAAGCATTTACAAAGACAAAATATTTTCTGTGGAATAACGTGCACTGACCGATAAAGTTAATTTTGATTTCATGATGACTAAAATCATCTGCTTTTGCCTAACGAAAAGGCGGGAACACTGAGAAATAGCTTGCAAAACTTCAGTACCTGAAACTGCCTACAGGTGGCGCCAAAGAGACTTGTGATTTTCACACCATACAACCACAGAAACATATACACACACACACACACACACACACACACACACAGTGAGGCCAGAGAGAGATACAGTGCAACTGAGCACTCAGGACTAACAGCTTGCTCGGTATGTCGCATATGTTCCAGATTTTCTTTAATATATGTACAAGAAAAACAAATCAGGTCACAGTTTAACAAAATAAAAAATAAATAACATTAAAAATACTCATTTTAAAATGTGAGTGACCAGTCTAATTAAGACCATGGCATTCTCTCATCTCATGTATGTTTGATTTGTTTAATATCTCTAAAATTGGCAGTCCTCCTCTTCTTTTTTTTTAAAAAAATTTTTTTTTTACTTATAACCGTTGCTTGAAATCAACAGGCCCACACAAAATCTGTACACACAGAAATCTCAAACAAAACAGTTATGCCCTCTTTTACAAAATTCTACGTCCCCCTGCCTTTATGTTTAGTAAATATTTGGGCTAATTTGATAATGCTTTCAGCTACCAGTATGAGTTTAGTACTCTCATTTTACCATAAATCTGGAAAATTCTGTCTGGGCCTGGAAATTGATTTTTATTCGAAATAGTGTGTAAATATGTTTGTACCTATTTGTTTAGCACCTTGAAAAAGTGCCATTCCTCTCTTTACGATGCAGCCAATCAGCTCTCGACCCCTCGCCTCAAAGAGCCAATCAGAGCACAGAGACAGTGGACAGGTCAAGGGTCAGGAGAGAGGAGCAGATTGGTCAGGCCACTCCAGTGTGTTATTGCAGAGGCCCTCTCAGCTCTCTTCAACTAGAGACGTCGGGAGATAAAAGTAGCAAAATATGTTTGCGTGAAAAAAACCCCCAGATGGCTGTGAAAATCAGTAGTTGATACTGCTGCTGCCACATACGCTTGGAATGATGGTGAGGGGGGAAAAAGAGGTTTCGAAAAATGAAAACTGCATTTTCAACCCTGTGTCTTCCAGTTTCAGTCTGTGCAAGTTCACAAGAAACACACAAAAAACGAGGGATTCCCTTAAAAATGACAGAGGAAAATGGAGTAAGCAAAAAAAAAAGGTAATCCAACCGTGACGACACAAAAAAGGAGTACTTTCTCCTCGAGTGGTTGTGCAATGAAGAGAGATGGAGGGAAATGGGGAGAAACTGGGTGGTGAGAGTGAGAGAAAGAAAGAGGAGGGAGTCGGGTGTCTATGACTCAGACGAGGAGCGTGACCCCCCCTGCACCAGTGATCTGTAGACAGAGGAGTTGAGGAATCGTGGGTAGGAGTCTCTGTGCATGAGGGTGTAGATCTGCAGCTGTGCATCCTCAAATATGTGAGGGGTGGGATCCTGCATCCTCCTGTTGATCACTTCCCTCACCCGAGAGTCCAGACTCACCTTCAAGACAGAAAGAGAGCATTGTGAATTCCGAGCAACATGGTTAGGATAGTATTAAAATAAAATGCTTATAAAGGATAGTTTTATAGTCATTTTATAATACTCAAGGTTAGGAATGTCAAATTTTAGGAATATTATTAATGCACTTTGTACAGTTGCAGAAACATTTACAAGCTGTTTATAGTTTCCTCAGCTCAGGAAAACATTAAAAAAGTTTGAACAGTGACATCAAATGCTTCTATCACTTTTTTTGACCGACGAATTTCAATGACTTCTGTCATTCAAGATCATTCATGATATTCAAATAAATGCTGTTCTGTAATGACAACTCTCAGAGAGTTTAGCATTGTAATGCACATGACAATGTTCATGTATTTGGTCTTGGCAGTATAGATCTGCTACACTGCTGCTGCGGCAGAGCAAATACCGAGACTTGCTACTGCCAATACATCCACAGACATGCTATTGTGAGCATGTAAGAAATACTGCTGCTGCACATACAACATATATGAAATAACCCCCATATATAACATACACAAAATTACCCCATTGCAGATCTATACAGGCGGAGCTGGGGAAGGTGGAGGGTTTCTGAAGCGGGGTGCAACTGCTACAGCAAGCACTAGCCAAAGTTTTGAATGTTGAGCAGCGAGCTAATTGGCTGCTGTTTCTAGAGCAGCAAATTAGTACATTAGAATGATTTCTGAAGGACCATGTGACACTGAAGACGAGTAATTATGCTGAATATTCAGCTTTGCATCACAGGAATAAATGATATTTTAAAATATATTAAAATAGAAATTCGTTATTTGAAATTGTAATACTATTTCACAATATTACTGTTTTTCATGTATTTTTGATCAAATAAATTTAGCCTTGGTGAGCATTAGAGTATAATCTCTTAAAAAAATAATAATAAATAAATTCTTACCAATCCCAAATCAAATTTTGAGTGCCTCAAAAAGTCTTGGATATGTTTTCAAATTTCAATCCCATGAACCTCTAAACCTTTATGAAACCTGTGTGGCCTATTTGTATAACCGCTTTACAGTAGAGAGTCCAGCAGGGATACATTTATAGCTTCCTTTGCTCAACATTTGCTCCTTAATTTACTTCTAGAAAGTATGTTTTCCTCAGCTGCCTCTAGAAAGTGGTGGAGTTTGAAGGTGTGAGTTCTGGCTCCGGTGATGAAAAAGCCAAGAGGCACATTCAACATGTCAACACAATGAATTAAACCGCATGCCAGCAGCACACATGCGCACCGAGAATGCAATGATAGTGTGTACAATACATGCACACCCTGCTGTCTCACATCGAAAGGAGACGAAACATAAACAGATCATAATAGAAAGCAGAATCAGCCGCCAACTATGGTGCTAGATGCCTGTATCTCAGGAAATGAGCCTTATAAAACATTAAGCTTCAATAATACATCTGGCAGAATTCCTTCACGCCTCATTTCTTTGTCACACACAAACTCTTAAACATTTACTCTCTCAACATGTAGTGGTGTGAAGTTCAAGCCAAGCATCCAAAGAAGTTTCGTTTTTAGATAAGGCCACAGTCGCTTCTCATTGGTCAGAATTCAGCCAATCACAGACCTGCACATAGCCTGAAATCTGCATTCCACAAAGGAGAAACAAGACCGAGGTGATAAAGAACAGCTACCAATCTTTCCACTGCAGTTACAACTGGACTTTTTATGGTTATTATATTCGGTGCCTTTCTTAGAATAGATTTACACACAAACATGCATGAAAATATGTTAATGTATTTTAAATTACTTTATTATTGCAAGCTACAATGGCTGCAAATGAAATGGCTACCTCTTGGGTTCCAGCAGAGATAGAATAGATACTTAATACATTATCAAAAAAAAAAAAAGTGTAAATACTGTGCCTGAACAGCTAGAATTACTGGGGCAGTACCATTAAAGGGACATCTTTGTAGCTTATCTGCCCCTAAAAATGCATTTTAGGCGTAACTGCCACTTTAAGGGTATTGCTCCACTGGCAAGTTGTTGTACCCATAACAGTATATTTTTTTTCTGAGACTAAAATATTTCTTATGGTATTCATGCTGTAATTAGGTTAAAGCTGCTTGTTTTCAAACTCGTTTTTAACACAAACTGGGACATATATTTAACCTCTATACATTTTATTTTCATTTGATTTCAGAAGTTTCCTGAACCATATGTTCTTTTATAAAAACAAACATTTGTTGAGGGGGAAAAATTAAAAGAAATGTCATTTCAGTTTACATTTTTCATGACTTGTTTTATACATTGTAACGAATCAGCTCATGGGAAATATGAATAATTCATCATAACTAGTTATAATTAATTATGAATATTTTAGATCCGCTGTAGATATTTACTATTTTAATTCAGACTATTTACTGAATAAAAAATAATGAATATAATTTAATTTCATTACTTTATTTATTTTTTTCATCTTGTGGACCCTTTTGACATTTGCTAAGACATCCTGGTTGAGAACCACTCTTTACACATACAGAGATGGGCAAAAATGCACTTTGCCACAGACGTCATCGACTTCAGTCTTCAACTCTCAAATCTGTCAGTTACTTTAGACCAACTCTAAACCAAACCAACAGAAAACTTACAAAAACTGTAAAAATCTAACTCAAATTGAAACTTAATTTGATTGATTTATGAATGCATTCTCTAAATATGTACATACCTGGATGCCTCTCCAGTCCGCACAAAGACATTCACTTTTCCTATTTTCTGTTACAACCTGGCCTGATAACACAAGTACATCACCAGCATATCTGTTTGATGTAAGTTTTGTCATTTTCTTTGTCATGTGTGATGACAATGACACATCTGCAAAACAGCATTAACCATCCCCTTATGCAAATTGCCATTCATTGGCTGTTTTTGCAACATCTATGATTCAGATTGTATGTGAATCTGCTTTTTTTTTTAAAAGTGCATAAACAAGAGGCTTAACAGAGCACAATGATTTCAGATGACACACTCTCACAGATGTGTTTACAGTATAAAACCTTGACTATAAAAACAGCAAAGACGTTTTCACTGAACCGTTGTGCTACTTTACACAGTCATTATGAGTGTGTTGATTAGGTTGTGTGTTTATGTGTGTACCTCTTTGGGTGAGAGGATGGAGATGTAGTCTTCGTAGATCAAACGAGTCTTCTCCTCGATGGCACTCTTGTTGATCTCCTTCTTCAGGTCCTCGCAGGCCAGCCAGAAGAGCATGTTCTCCTCGCTGTACTCCGTCCGCAGGAACTCACGGAACTTGTTTCGCCCCGCTGGGTTCTTCATCAGCTTATCGAAAGACTGCGCCCACTGTTTAATCTCCTCTATCGTCGGTTTGGGGCTGAGAGAGAGTTAGAGAGAGACATTAGGCACATTCACATCCCTAACAAACATGATAATCCATGATGACGTGGTTGAGAAAAACAGCTCAATCCTCATGATGAAAACAGTATCTGGGATTGTATGTGAGTTTGCATGTGTGTTCTCACCAAGGTTCACATGGAAAGGGCTCCAGCTTTGTCTCCTGGGCTTTCCTCCGCCCACGCTTGTCATCTTCACTCCTAACAGTGAGACTAGAAGGTGGTAAAACGGCATTGAGAAATAACAGCAGTGCCTGAACAAAACAACAAAGTCGAGACGCACACAACACACTCACATTTAACACGCAAGGCCCTTCAACTTCATGTTCAGGTGAATTCATGAGTATTAATTCAACTGAGTTTCTAATTTAATTATGAACTCATATGTTTCTCTAGTCACACCATATGGCTTTGAACCAGTTCATAAAAGTCTATTTTTTAGTGAATTTGTTGGACTACACAAGTCATACAAAATGGTCTGAATCACTAAAAAGAACTTGTTCATAAGAGTTATTTGTTTGGGACTTGGGTGGACTACACTGCTTATACTGTATGATTTTGAATCATAAAAAAACACTTAATTTTAGTAATCGGTTGGACTACACTAATTGCACTGTATGGCTTTAAATGACTAAACAGAACTGGTTCATAAGACTCATTCATTCAGGAATTGGTTGGACAATAATGGTCGCACTGTGTATGGCTTTGAATCACTAAAAACAACTGGTTCATGAGAGTCAATCATTTGGGAATCAGTTAGACAATGCTGTTCATGCTGTATGGTTTTTTTATTCACTAGAAATAACCAGTTCATAAAAGTCATTCATTTGATAATTATTTGGATGCACTAGTTGCATTGCATGGCTCTAAATCGCTAAAAAGTACCTGTTCATAAGAGTCATTTGTTCATGAATCTGTTGGACCACACGTGGTTTTGAATCACTAAAAACAAATGGATCATAAGAGTCATTCAGCTGGAATACACTGGTCAAGCTGCATAGCTTTGAATCCCTAAATTGAACCTGTTTATAAGACTAATTTGTTCATCAACTGGTTGGACTACATTGGTCATGCTGTATGGCTTTGAATCACTAAGAAGATCCGGTTCATACGAGCCATTCATTTGGTAATCAGTTGGACTACTGGTCATGATGTATTGGTTGTATCACTAAAAAGAAGTGGTTCATAAGAGTAATTTATTCAGGAATCTGTTGGAATACATTATACGCACTGTATTCTTTTGAATCACTAAAAAAAGAACTGGATCAAGTCATTAATTCGGGAATCGGTTGGATCACACTGACTGAAAGGCTTTGAATCACTAAAAAGAATTGATTTCTGAAATATCTACAGAATGAGCTACATTAATGAAACATTAAGAGGTCATCAGAGTTTGGACCTCAATGGTCACTGTAAATAGCTATGTGCAGCAGGTGTGCTTGAAGAATGAGTGTGAGTGGATAAGTGTGTGAAAGACGTGTGGGTGTGAATATGGCTCCCATTTCCTCCGGGGCTTCTGGTGAAACGCGAGCAATCTTAACCACATTTACTCTCCTGACTCATAGTACACTTGAATTTCACTCAGAGAAGCGCACACACTCTCACACAGCAATTAACGTGTGTGTACTTTCACAGAAGCATGTATTCACCTGTACTCACAAACACACAAACATATCACATCTCATTCACACACACACATAAAAATAACTGAGTGTTGTGTTGAGGGATCTTGATATGACAGTAGGAGGGAGAGCTTCAGAACACATTCAACTTAATGTGGCATATTTCCGAATGAAACCGAATATTCAGCCGGAAATAACACAGGATTGATTTTATCCACAGGGATTTGATTGTATCGTAAAAAGTAGGCTATGATATTATAGGTTAATGTTATTTTCCCCAAAACAGCAGTAAAGAAAAGATATTACAGTTTTATGAAAAATTATGAAAACAAACATTTTAATACTATAGGGTAACGTGGAATGACGCATTGTGTGCAATAAAACCAGGAACATGTATTAAGAAAGTAAACAGGGTGTTTTTTAGTTAATGCCGTTTCATTGGTAAAATGTTAATGTTTCTTTACCATTTACTTTAAAAATGAGCATACTCTTTTTTTATTGGTTTTTGTGCCTTTAAGACTTTGCTTTGCATGTGAATTGTACATTTAATTCATCATTACATTACACATTTAAATAAATAAATAATTATTTATGAATCAATAAAATTGGGATGAAGCTGGAATGCTCCAGTGCCGAGGGGCTGAGGGGTGGGACTGAGACCATCTATATAACTTACCATAAGAAGGTTGCAAGGATGACATATTTTTGTAGGCCAAAACCCAGAAATGAGTTTTACATCTTGGATGACATAGGTGAGTAAATTATCAAGGAATTTTTATTCTGGAATTGAACTAATTTAAATGTCACCAGGAGAAGAGATAAAGAAGAGATCTACTCACCACTCACTTTTTACACTTTTACAGCCTAATTTCATTAACAATTAGGCTACTCTCTTTCAAACTGTTCTAACTCTAAATTTCAGGGAAAATGCTTTTTAAATATAAACAGAAGAGTTGACATATGCTTAGTAATGGTGATGTTGAAGTCACACGACCATGGTGTAGTTTGTTTATAGCCTTCATTTAGCTTTTTACTTCTGATGATTGTATTTAGGCTTCAAAGTTCATAAAGGCTGTGTTCATTTGGGAAGATTATCATGATGAACAAAACCTGTAGAATCATACATTTTAGCATTAATCCAAAAGCCAATAATCCAGAAGCCAACCAAAAGTTTTTGTAGAGAGAACTGAAGTGATGCTAACTCTGGTTGGCCTACAAAATACATCATCACTGCAGCACTCTATGGAGGTGAACATAATCTCGGTGAAGGAATGGATGTGGGATGCAACACTGGCAGTGGTGATGAGTGGAATGTACCATGTGGAGACAGAGACAGGTGAGTGGGTCGTACCATGAGCAGCTACAGCAGCAGCACCAGCAGAAGCAGCAGGTGTTGGGTTTCTGTGTAGGGGAGTGATGCTGGGCACGGCTGGGGGACGTCTCGCTCCGCGTCATCGGAGACTCGCGGTCTGCCGGGACAGGGCCTGTGTACTGATACACATTAGAGTAAATACCCAACCCCTCACGAACACACACACACACACACACACACAGAGGAAATCCTCTACATCTGGTGATTCGAGGTTGGAAATTAACATGCACATGGTCATGGGGTCATAATTGGTCCATCTAAACAACCCACAAAGTCATAATCCTCTGACAAACAGACAAATATTAGCCTTTCCACTATCAATCCATGCTTAAAACGGGCCAAGACTCAACCTGTCACCTAAAGCAGCCAATCAGAATGGAAGATATCATTGAGCATGTGACCTCATCCAACCAATCACATTTCAGATGTCTGGGCACAGGGCTGGTGAGTGGCGAAAATGAACTGGAGCAGGTAAAAGAGACGCAAGGAACAGAGTGTTCGACCACTGTGATCACAGGATATGGGAGTAGCTCAATTTCTGTCACACAAATGCAAACAGAAACTAACCAGTCTAACCTGAGAGTAACTCAAATAAACAAATGTATAAACCCACCACTATAAGAATGCTTCTTCAATTACTGTATGGGCACTTTTGGTTCATGAACTTTTAGAAAAGAAGCTCATAAAACACACTTTTCACTCCCATTAGATAAATATATCCACTAACACGGTGGTTATACATACTGCGCATCAGAGAAGAATGGTCTTTTTTCTAAAAGTCATGAAAATTCCCACCATATCTCAACAAATGTATTGAGTTGAACAGCATTCAGTGGCATAAATTACATTTTACGGTTTGATTGGAGTAAAATTTGGATGATGCCTCACAAGTATTGCATTACAGATGAAGTTAGAGGTTTCATGCAAGAATTTCTATCGAGTTTACCCAGTCAAGTCACATGTGGTTCAGTGCTTTAAATAGTGGAACGTCTGTGTTTTTTGTAATGTCCATTAGACCATTAGTAATTTATTTCCTATGGTGATTATTTGAAAGAGAATTTAAATGTATTTACTACAAGAGGCTAGTATTGCTCTTAATTTTGTAGAAACTAATGTGATATTTAGGTGTTACTCATTGGATGGTGAAAAAACTTGGATTTAATCGTTAATAATATTAATTATTGGATTTATTTATTTAATTGTTCATTATTATATTCATAAAGTGAAACAGAATGAAAAAAAGCTTATGTTTGAACAATTTAAACATTAAACATACTTGGAACTGACACTAAAAGCTATATACTGTATATATATATTAGGGCTGTCAATCAAGCAAAATATTTAATCGCGATTAATCGCATGACTGTCATGAGTTAACTCATTATTAATCGTAACTTAATTGCACATTTTTGATCTGTTCTAAATATAACTTGAATACTTTTCAAGTTTTTAATACTCTATAATCAACATGGGCATGGACAAATATGGATGCTTTATGCAAATGTATATTTATTATTAGTGAAACGATCAACACAGAGCATGAAGGCTAGACATGTTTTTCAAAGAACTTGTAGACACATGAAAAAAGAACATAGAAATACCAGGTTCCCATTACTTATCTTTCTTTGTGTGTGTATATATATATATATATATATATATATATATACATATACAATCTCTGTGTTTTTACAAACTGAGTGACGAGTCAATGATTTCCTGTGGTAATCGACAGCATGAACCAGTATTGAACCTGGAACATTCCTTTAAAGTGGAACAGAGAGTGGGGTGTTGTGCTTAAACTCTCCTCTCCTCCCCCATGTGACCTTCTCAATTCAGAGGTTATTTTTAATTCGCTAAAAGGCCTAAGCCATAATTCTTTTCCAATTACATTTGGGCCAGCTGTCCTAAATAGAGAGGCCCTGTCCCACTGCATACCGAACATCTCTAATGCCATCACAATAGACACACAAACATACGTGTGCGTATGTGCGTGTTGAGGAAGGGAAAGAAAAGCACACAGCATTAAAACAAAAGGCTTTTGTGTTGTTTAATGACAACTTCAGAGTACACGGTCATATTCAGATGCATTTTAAATCTAAACTTCCATACACACAGACAGAAAACCGATCCACAGTCTCAGAAACTTCCTCAGCCTTTGGCAAATCCAACAACAAACCCCTGAGTGTCTCTAGATGGGAATGAGCGTCTGTCTGCGAATGAGGAAAAGCTGCTCACTGTAATGAGGAAACGCAAGTTAAAACGGCGGGAGGAAGCATGAGTGAAAGTGACAGGGAAGTAGTGCTTTACACCCAAAATGGCAGTACAATGTGGCGGACTGTGTCCCTGTCTTTGTGCGTCTGCCTTTATGGAAGTAACTGGAAGACAGAGCCTTTTATGGAGTTTTAAGTCCGGTCGTCCCATCATGATGGTTACCATGACAGGATGCAACTGTCCCATTATGTGAGACATTATGTAAAATAATCACAGATACAGTGGGTACGGAAAGTATTCAGACCCCCTTAAATTTTTCACTCTTTGTTATATTGCAGCCATTTGCTAAAATCATTTAAGTTAATTTTTTTCCCTCATTAATGTACA